TATATTGACCTTGATAAGATAAACGCATCATTCGCGCAATATTTGTCGCACTTTGATACCGAACTATTGCTTCCAAATGCCGACGTAAAGAAAACCTTTATGTGACGTCATAGAAACAGCGGATTTCCCAAAAAGTAAACAAAAATAAAAGTCTTATATCTCGAAAACGGGTGAATATTTTCCGGTAAAATTTGGTAGATGTTCATTTTCGCTCTTTGTGATTCACGCTACATCACTTTTATGCCAATTCATTAACTTTTTTGAAGGTGGGAGGGTCCCTTTAACCGGCCGATAACTCAGCGACCCGCAGTGACACCAAGGACAGCGCTACTGCGCGCCCGGAGGGGAGCAGCCGAGACGGTGTGCAACCGGACGGCAATTAGGCCGAGTTTCATAACCGTAATGACACTGAAACGGACGCCAGCTGAGCAGCGGAGGCCGTTCGTCATGTAAAACGCTTGATGAGACAGCAGACGCGGTATGGTAGCGTTAGCTCTTTGGTATTCATGGGCTGATATCGTTAATCGTTTCCTACGTACCGTTACTGAATTTTACATCGGTACGGACTGAATTTGAATTGTTCAATGAGTATTACAATTATTTCATGGTTACTGTCGAAAATGTAAGACAATTGCAGTGTTGACAGCAGCTTCATATTTAACACGCACACTTAACCCATTTACGCCCTTCGTTGCGTTTTCGCAACGCAAGCAAGCGTCGACGTGATCGAAGCTTGAGAAGTGTGTAAAAGAGACTAACCGATGAGACAAGTTTCAGCGTGTGTAGCATGGTTGTGCGCATGATACTACGCAGTTACAAGTCTGTGCGGCCAGTAAGTTACTGCCTAGAGCTCCCAGAGGGAAGTCGAAGGTTTTGTGAGTGATGACGTCACGAAAACCAAGATAAGTAGGCTAAGTGCTTAATAATATCGTAATGAAAATTGTGTAAACATATTCTGCAGAGTCCCTACAATAGCGTAGATATGCATTTTGTTAAGAAATAATGCTACAAAAAGGGTTTGTGACTATTTTCAAATATGACTACGGTCGCGTTGCGGGAACGCAACGAAGGGCACATCGGAAAGACAGCGGTGTTGCGAAAACGCAACGATGGGCACATTGGCAGGGTAGCGGAAGTATGAATATCAACAGTAGACTGCACTCGTGATACGCTGTGGGTTCTCTCTTTCTCTCCCCCATCTTCCTCCCTCTCCTCCTCGTTCCCCAACTCTCTCCTCTCTCTCTCTCTCTCTCTCTCTCTCTCTCTCTCTCTTTCTCTCTCTCTTTCTTTCTCTCTCTCATTTTGTAGCCATGAGGCTGTAGCGGCGGAACATCTTCAATTAAGGGGGGGGAGCACTGCTGACTTTTGGTCTCATTCTTTCCATTTCCATTTCCATGCAACGCCTATCGGGATAATGTTAAAATGGCAAAATCAAGGGGGGCACGGTGCCCCGGTGCCCCCTCCCCCCGCTCCGCCGCCTATGCCATGAGGGACGTATATAGGTATGTTTAGTGCAAGGTGCGTTCGCACGTAAAATGTTGCGACACATTTCATATTTGCTGGCTCAAACAGCCACAAACACTCCTTTCTTTTTCTCTCGCAGATTTTCGGCCTCGGGCTGTTCGTTCACTAAGCAATGTGTTCCCATGCATCTGAAAATCGCATGGTAGGAAAAGGACCCATGCATCAAACGGTCGGCGATGCTAACGGAGCTGAGAGATAATTAGGTCCTTTGGAAATTGGATGTACTATGTACATTGTGCATAAATAATGAATAACGGGGATGTATTCTGGTATCAGGCGACAGATAGGCATCGCCATTCTCTGGATAGAATCTGCTGACTACCAGCATTTACGTTAGAAAAGATAACTGAGGGTCGGCAAATAGTGGGATAGGCCCCCTCTGAGGGTAGCTGAGCCCTTCGGCAGGGGTAATGAGGGCGGACCCATGGGAAAATAATAATTTTTAGGATTCATAACTCGCATAGATTCATAAGCTGCTTGATGTGGAGTATACGCCTGTTTTCTTACTTTGATAGGCTTTTTATCTAATCAGACCATTTTTAGAGCTAGCAGGATTATTGGAATTAGGGGAGACATTTGTCTGACCAGACACGGTCAATCGTAGACTGGAGACTGAGCCCAGCCAGTGGGCAGCCGCCACCCATGACCCATCCCCTTCCCCCCTACCAAGCACTCACTGCACCCGGCTACAGGCGCGCTCCTATGTGAGCTGCCCGATTGCGATATACGTTGCCGGTCCAGCCCGGAACAGGGGGATGAGGCGTGGAGGAGGATTCAACTATCCTGAAGATGGAAAGGACGGATTGACGTCGAATCACCATTCTGTCCTGGCATTGTCTCGAGAAAGAGGTTACACGTGAAGGTCGCTGAGAGTGGGGCCATGAAAATTTTGGATTAGGTGTAAACATGATAAACTGGGAGTCGATTTGTTGTGATGCGCTACGCCTTACGCGGGTAATTTGTTAGAGCCGGATCGGTCCTTTTTTCTTTTTGCTGAGAGTGGGTACGACTAACCTGCAATGGAATTTAACTTTACTCCTAGGAGGGTGGTTAAAAATGATTGCGGATATGCGCGCATACGAGAGGCACTGGTTTACTCCCAATCCTCCGTTTAATTGTATTCAGTGTGCACTGTGCAGGGTCTGATAGGTGGAGGTAATGGATCTGTCTAGCTTCCAAAAAGGAAGCATCACCCTGGATACGTGTCGACCACAACTTTAAATGAACAGCAATGGACAACGTAAATGGTTGATAATGACCGTGTTGCCATCTCCCCGTTCGCGAATCATGAAGTTATGCTTCCTCACTGAGGCTCTTAGGCGGGTTATAGAGCATGACGGATGTGGGTTCCGCATTTTCAAGCAATAGTTGTCAACAGTTGATTGACGTTTTGTCAAAATATATTGGCATATGCGGCAGTTCAGTGTACTTTATGTCCGTCTGATGTGCCCGTCGTTGCGTTTTCGCAACGCTGATGGCGCCCGGTGTGCCCTTCGTTGCGATTTCGCAACGCATGTTTTTTACGTTTTTCTCGAGAAACTTTTGCTGCAGGCAAAAATTATTTTCGATTCCATACAAGGCCCTGGTAGGAGCATAACATATTTTGATTTCGTCGATTTTCATGATGGTCAAAATTCCTGGGCATAAATGGGTTAATTTAAGAGGCATGCTTGTCGGTCGGCCCAGGTGACGCTGTCAGGTGCGTCGGTTTTTTCAATCCTCTAACATCCGTGGTCTCCCGATATATCGGGAGACCACCCGCTATAGCGGGTGGCGGTCGCGGTTTGCCTGGCCGCTGCGGTATTGACAACCTGCGGGTATCCGACGCGTCCGTCTGGTGCTGCGACCTGTCGCGAAGCCATGGCGCCCGGTCAGGACACGCCCAGTTCTCCTAGGCGGCGTGTGTTATCCGTCTGGGCAGACTGGGCTTCTCCTGGCGCAGACTGGGCTCCTCCCTTGCGGAGCGTCCGTCTCTTCCCGGTGCAGGCCTGGGCCCCGGCCCTCCCGGCGTGGCGTGGTCTGTCGGGCGGCGGCCGATCGCCGGCCGGGGCCCGTCGGACCGTGACCGTAGCGCCGGTGTGCGAGTGCGTGTTTGTGTCGGCGGGGTGCGGTCGACGTGGACCGGCACCAGTCACCGGAGGATGTGCCGCCCATCCGCTCCCGCCACCGCCCCTGTCGGCGGCTACCCTACCACCAAGGCACTGATGGTGGCTCGCCAGACTGCTCTGGACGCCTCTGTCGACTCACCTGCCCCGATCATCGGTTCTGCGGGGGTAGGTACCCGCTGTGGCTGCGGCCGGCTGCCGGCGGTGGAGCCGTGTTCCCACATGGTGCGGGCTAAAGGTCGCCTCACTCCACCCGTGGGAGGCCCGCTGACCGATGGACTGGGTTTCCCGACCGGCTGCCGGTAATGCCGGGACTATAACTGCCTGGTGCACAATAATTACACGCTGCTCATGTGCACTGTGAATGATAAACTATATCAGAGTGATGCAATCGTGGTCAACATCACCTGACTTAATCGTCAGCAGTAAGGAGTAATAACAACACAACGCCACTAAATAATGTGAAGTGGGATGGCGTTACCGCCTGTCGCTCTGCCCGGCACCGCAAACCACTAACTGTCGCCGACCACATGTGTTTGCGGCAGCCTGCTGTCAGATACTGGCTCGCCACTGTTTCACTGCTGCTGAGCCGACCACCGGCAGACGAGCCGACCGGCTCCTGACGGCCCCTAATGGCCCCAGTGCCGCCCCGGCGAGCCACTTTCACAGGACCGCGCGGCCGCAGACCGCCCATCGGACGCTAATTGACCCGATAGGGCAGACAGGGGAGGTGTCTGGACTGTCCGCCCAAAGGGAGGTGGCTTGGTTACTCCACCCGGCTGAGAGGGGTGGCGGCGGCTGAGCCAGGATCGGGCCGCCACGGCTGCTGCACTGAAAGGCGTGTACTACAGAAACTATCATCCTCCGGTGTTCGTTAGTGCTAAGGGAGTTTATCCGGAATTGCTTCGGTAGGGATTATCTGCCGAGGGTGTGTTTGTTTGTTGTAGCTTTGTGTCAGTTGGTCCCGTCGAGCGTGTTATCCTGGTGATGCTCCACTTGTGGTTGTTGCATTGCCGCTGTATCCTGACGCGCCCCTCTGTCTGCTCTAGTCCGAGTTCTCCCGCTGTACCCCGACGCCTCGCCCAATGTCTTTTGCAATCGAGCTGTCTCGGTGTATCGTAACGCTCCACTTTGTGTCTGTTGCAGTCCCGGTACACCGTGACGTTCCATACTGTCTGCTGCACTCCGAGTTCTCCCGTTGAACTCTGACGTCCCATTCTGTGTCTGCTCCAGTCTCGGTTCTCCTGGTATTTCCTGACTCTCAACTCTGTATCTGTTTTGCACTCCGAGTTCCGCCGTTGAACTCTGACCCTCTATTCTGTCTGTTGCCGTCCCGCCGCACCCTGACGCTCCTCTCTGTGTCTGTTTCAGTCCGAGCGGAGTGAGCCTCACTTCCCGGGAGGAGGCGCGCCAGTACCTGCGCGCCGCCGGCACATGCAAGTGTGGCCTCGAGTGCCCCATCCTCGTGGAGAAGTCGTTCAACTTCGACCCGAAGGTAAAGTCGCCCACAGCTGACCCGACCCGGCAGTGGCCGGACTTCACAGACTATCAACAACGCTTAGCAGGCTTCGTTATTATCCTTGATACAATTGCATAATGCGCCCTATATTGAACCGGGAATGCGTTTGCAAAAACTAAAGAGAAATCTGTATTCATTACGAGAGCTTAGCATGCTTGAAGAATGAGTCCATAAATCATTAAAATCTCCTAAATGAACGCATCATTGAAGCAATACATGAATCTGATTGGTGAACTGATAGAAATAAGAGGGGCAAAATAAAACTATGCTACTTCTGTTAACAGACTATTACTCAAGTCATTTTTGGGTTAAACCCAAGCGGCGGCACCAGCCTTTTCCTGCCTACCAGCGGCAGTCTGTGAACCGGTTCGATCCTCTGATTCTGGGGCCGCCCGTAACACAGAATCGGCGCTGACCGCAGATCTGTGATCGGTCCCGATATATCGCTCATTTGTTGTGGACGCCGGCTACCGTGCTGTTTACAAATGGGCCGCGTGTAGGGCCGGCGGCGGCGATCGGAGATCGGACGGGGACCGGTCGGCGCCGAGCTGTCGGCCTCCGGACGGCTGACGTCTGGGGGACACCCGCGGGACGTGTGTCCGGCCGCGCGGGACGTTATCTCCGCCCGCTCCGACCACCGCCTCCCCACACACGCCACGCCGAACGGTGACCCGCCGGGGCGTATTTCGGAGTCGCGGCGTCTCGCCGTGGAGCCTGTGGGGCCGATAGCGATCGGCGTCGGCCGAGTGGCGGCTGCCGGGCGGGCGGGCGGGAGCCAGGTGGGGCGGTGGAGCGCCGCGGTGGCTGCTCGGCTGTCGGCCCGGCCCGCCCGGTTATCTGATGAACCCCTCGCATTTCAATGCCCGGCTCTGCTGCGGGGGGGGGGGGGATTGTAGTCGCTCGCCGGCCAGTTGTGTAACTAATTATTCCAGTTGGCGTGTTTTTGATCGTGGATGTGGGTGCTGAACAAGCGGCTGTTTTGTAATATGTTGTCAGTCGTGTTGGGTCTGAGCGACGGCGTCCGGGCGGCTGCTGCTAAACGAGTTAGAGGTTTGATGCAGTCAGACCAGTGAAGTGCTTGCTTCGTATCCAGCTAATGCGTGACGCAGTTAAGCTGTTAATAGTGGCGTAATTGTGTGCAGCGGAGCTGAGATGACTGATAAAACGCGAGTGTTTGTGGTCTGCATTTCTTAATGTGCAAAATATTCTTACATTGAGGCTGGCTTTGGGACGACGTTGTTAATCCAGCGTGATTTTTTTCTTCAAAGCAGTGTGTTGAGAAGGGTTTAGGCCCGGTTTCAACTGATCTGACGATAAATTCAGCTGCCTGATTGAATTGCTGAGCCCCCCCCCCCCTCACTGAGTCATCTCCAACCCGTTTCTTTCGCCGTTTTAACTTGTATCGACATCAATTCCGCCCTCATTCCCCTGTGCTGAGACATCGTTGCTAGCGCGACGGGCGGTCGCGGTTCTCTCCTTCACGAACCTCGCAGGACCAGGGGACACCGGCCGAGCGGGGCTGGGCTGACCTGCGTCCAGTACACAATGCAGTATACCTACACGCACAATACACCCACTCATCCGTCGTGTGCACTGTGCATACGCACTCATTGCAGCTAGCAATGCATTTGCTCATTGCTGTTCTTTTTTTAAGATTGTGAATTTCATTTATCTGCTCCTCCTAAGCCATTCAAAGTACTTTTCTTTCCATGTTTGCGCATTCCATATCACGAGGTGAATGATGACGTCTTAATTTGCACACGCTCTAACTATTGCGTGTTTAATTACCAATGCATTCACACACTAGTAATCCATGTGTTCCGTCTCCTTCGCCGCTGCGCTGATGACCGAATGTGAGCCACTAGTGACCGACCGCTGGTGACTCCGACCTCCCCTGTTACAGGTGATCACCAGGCCGCGGAGCGGCGCTGTCGGAGCGGTCCCCCCGGGCGGCGCCGTCAGTCCCAGTGAGACCACCAAGACGTGCAACCACCGCCGGAAACGGGCTGAGCTACAGCTGCGCCGCGCCACCGGAAAAGGTCAGCGCCGCGTCGGACCGCCGGAGACATCGATTGGGCGCCCGCGGGGGAGGCGGCGGCGGCACGGCGTGCGCGTGACGCAGGGGTGTGTGTCGCGGCGCGTGACGCCCACTGGGGGACGGACGGGGTACGCGCCGTGTCGCCGGGCCGGGACAGGTGTGCCACCGGCGGCGGCCCGTTCAAACACAGCTGTTTGGACACCAGACGGTGACAAAAACCGGGAGCCCGGCTCCGGCCGCCGGCACTAACGGCCGCTACGCACGGCGCGTGTTATAACAAAAAATCCGACCGGGGACAACTGTGCACTTATGGTCACGCTAGTAAACTTGGCTTTATAGTCACGCTAGTGAACTATGACTGAAGTAACACAGACAAGCCTTCGTCCTACCTTTTGTAAGTACATACGTATGGACGTATGGTGACTGAATCTTCGGAAGAAAACTACTGGCGGGCGTTTCGTAATATTTTGTTCTCGTTCAGCAACTTGTCAGTGTGTTGCTTCCACCTAACCGCAAAGGTGCTCTTACACCCCTACCTAGGCGTGGAAGTACACGTCCTTACATTACGCCCGCTACGGCTGTAAGTTGACTGCGAGTTGATGCTCATTGATGAAATGTATGTTTCTTTGCCGGCAGATGTTCCTCCCACCTTCCAGGAGCAGCGATGTAATCCGCACAACAACCCCTTCTTCCGTGACCAGATGCTTCAGGTGGGTGGCAATGCGACACCGGCTCATCCTTTTAACCACCGTGCTTGCAATCGACTTCAACTGGTTATTTTGAACCGCCCGTCCACTCTCAGTGCCGAGCCACCCTCAGACCCCCGACGCCGGACCAGCGTCCACCCCTGTCGTGTCCCGACGCTTCCGGCGGCCTCCCATGTTTTACGATGATCGCTTCATTGTTTTTGGGATTAGCTATCGGCCGTAATCCGGCCGTAATGCGGCTCCGGCCGCGGGCCGGGGCGCCACTGTCGCGGGGACACGCCGTAATCGGAGCGCGCGCTTATTACGGCGCGCCGGCCGGAAGCCGCTCGACATTGTCGCCGCTCCATCATAGACGAGTTCGGGTCCGGCCTTGAACTGCTTCAGCGGCTATTCCCGCGTAATGGGGCGATTGAATAGCGACCGCCTGATTAGCTGCATTTTTGTGTTCCTGTGAGGGTTACTGAAGAATTAGAACGGAATGATAATGACTTACGGCGAATACAGGCTGACTCGGATGTTAACTCGTTACCGTTTGCCGCGCAGGCGATGGAGCAGATGGGATACCATCAGCAGCAGCAGCAGCAGCAGCAGGCGTACCAGCAGTCCCAGCAGCTGTACCACCCCGGCCAGCAGTCGTACCAGCCGCAGTACCAGCCGAGTCCGGTGGCGACGCCCGCCGGGCCGCGGTGGCCGGCCGTGACCACGGGTCGGCTGCCGGCGCCGGCGGCTCCACCTCCCCACCTGCTGCGGGCGCACTGGGACGAGCTGAGGCGGCGGCGGGCGGCCGGCCGCGGCCGACGGCGCGCCTCGCCCTGTCCCAACGTGGAGGTGCGCCAGCTGCCGGGTGCCGGCGGCGACTCGCCTTCCTTCATGGACGATCCCAGCGGCTACCTGGCGCACCAGACCCAGCTGCTCAACGACACCATGCAGGAGGGATTAAGTCCGGTACCGGCCGAGGTGCCCATCCCCAGCACAGTGCCCCTGCCGGCCCGCGTCGGCAAGCACGCGCCACCGGAGACTCCGGCGCCGGCTGAGTCCCCGGGGACGGCGCCCGACCGGGCCCCCGCGCCCGACTGCACGGCAGGGGACCCGTCGCCCGCCGCCGCCGACTCTGCCGAGCAGGGTACTCAGCCGACCGAGCAGCCTGCCGACAGCGCGGAGTCCCAGTCACCGGCCCCGGAGTCGGATGCAGCCCCGCAGCCGGCCGAGTCAGCAGAGTCCAGTCGTTCCGAGTCGCTGTCGACTCCGGCTGAGTCGGAGGCTGAGCGGACTGGAGAGGCAGTCGTCAGCTCAGCCGGGGACACACAGACGCGGGCGGAGGCGGCGCCGGCCTCCACCAGTGCGCCCGGCCCGGTGGCGACTCAGGCGCAGCAGACGGTGGTGAGCGGGGACGCCGAGGTGCCGCTGATGCAGTCGCTGCCGGCCGGGCAGATCCTCTTACCCTCCGGACAGCTGATCCTCACGCAGCCGTTCCAGCCGATGCTGCAGTACGTGAACGCGTTCCAGATGCAGCCTCCGCTGGTGGTGTCGGCCGGCGGGGCGCTGCTGCGGCCGCAGCAGGCCGAGCCGACCGACCAGACGCCGGCCGGCCGCAGGAGGCGGCGCCGCCAGACCGCCGGCGGGCCGGTCGCCCCGCAGCGCTCCCAGCAGCAGCAGCAGCAGGCCGGACTGCAGACGCTGCTGCTGCCCGGCGGCGGCGGGGGCGGCGCGGCGGCCGGCGCCGGAAAACAGGCTCCGATGGTGCTGAGCGGCGGCCAGGCGGGCGGGGTGAACTTTCTGCAGCCGCTGCTGCTGCCCGGCGCCGGCGGCCAGCTGTTCATTCAGAGCGTCGGCGGCCCGCTGCTGTCCACCTCTGTGGCTGGCGTGCAGGCCGGCGGACAGCTCCTGCAGGTGGTATCTGTGTTGGGCGACCAGTGCCAGAGCTCGCTGTCCGCGCCGCCGCCGCCGCCGCCGCCGACAGCCGAACACCAGACGCGCATGGCGGCCGACTCGAGCACCTCGGACCGCGGCTCGCCGGACGGCGGCGGCGGCGGCGGCGGGCCGGGCAGCTCACCGGGTCCGCGGGACGAACCCGTCAGCTCCACCGGCGAGCCAGCCGACGAGCCGCCGCGACCGGCAAAACGACCCAGGCAGACCGCCGAAGGTATGCCACCGCGTAATCTTGGACCCGATTGTTTCAGCTTGTGGTGCCGGTAAGGCATCAATTTTAAATTTACATAGTTATTATGCAGTCACTAGCATGCTCTTAATGGAGCAAGGCTCTAGCTGTAGAGGTATGAATCCCCGTATTTGATTAATTTAGTTCAATTTCAACGCCATCTTTTGACCGTCTATTGACCTAATTGCTCTCAGTCGCCCAGTCGGCGCCAGACCGCCCCTGCCGGTTGGCCTCTGAACTAACGTTTCCCGGCGCTCCGTCAGATGACGAGTGTGATCCGCCGTTCAGTTCCGGTGACCTGGTCTGGGGCTCTCACCACGGGCTCTGCTCCTGGCCGGGCCAGGTGATCGAGCGCACCGACGTCCAGGCAAGTGAACGCACCAACTCGGTCACGAACGCTGCGTGCAACTTAAGTTGAATTAATATTTTATTATTATTATTATTCACAATTTTTTATGTTTATATATGACACATATATTTTGAGTTAGGATGGATGACGTCCGTCCTCTTCAACTAAGTGATCAATATTCCGATCAAGGAATACTTCCCTCAAATGAAGGGAGGCTAAGGTCAGCTGAGCATGATGTGATCCTTTTAATAGTATAATTTTGATGATTTATGAAGGCATACAATATTTATTAAACCATATGAACGTTCTATGCTTGCTGAACCCGCCCGCTTGCGGCTGATTATCGCTGACCGCTCCGCTGACTACCATCCGCTACCTCGGACAGGCGTGCGATCCGTCGCAGGTATGGGTGCAGTGGTTCGGCGACCACACCATGTCACTGGAGGCCGTCGACCAGCTAAGGAGGCTGCACGGCCAGGGCGCCGGCAAGCGCAACAAGTAAGTGCCGCATTCACATTTCACGGTGATAACAATCGTAGCACTCGGGCACTGCAGCTGTGGGTACTTTACAGCAGGGGCCCATCGGTAGCTGGTGTAGGTACCCGTAGGAACCTACCAAGAACTAACACTAGACCCACGTCAGTTCGACTCGTCGTGGAACACCTTATTTCAACTTTTCTGCTTTTGGGAAGGCCGTTCCTCGTTGTGTTCACCAACACCGGTTCATGTTTGAACTCGCAGCACTCAGCTTTCTCGTTTGCTAGATTTATGAACAGATCACCTGGAAATTGTTTCCGTTTCCTTCAATTGTTGTTTTCTTTCCGTCAGATCTCCGGCGGGGAACAGCAGTTTCGAGGAGGCTCTCAAAGAGGCGCTGGCGGCGGTCGAGCGCCAGCGGAAGTAGCAGTTGGTGATTGTGTCAACAGGTGGCAGCTGATACCGAGTGCAGTCGTACAAACCCGAGTCGCACCCGTCGCGGGACTCACTAGTCGTAGGGATCTGATCAAAGGACACCAGTATGGATGTTGGCGCATTGTTTTCCATGCTCTCAAAGAGTTCAAATAGTTTATTTTTACTTGTATTTTTACACAAGGTGGGTTGCTCAGACCCACGTACGTAAGGTGAGATGTTGGTCTAGTTTTAGATTTCTTATTTCGTGGCGTTTCCTCAAGTGACTTGTATTATCCATCGTTTTCCTCTTTCCACCTCTGTTGGCAAACACGGTCGGCACCAGGGCCCGATCCCGGAGTTATTCCGTTGGGCTTTTGGTCCTTGGATATATTCCGCTTCCATAAAGTAACACGATGCCGCGTAACACGGTCGAGCGCCGTTCCGATGGGTTTTGGATCCGTTCCTCCTTCCTCCGTTTCTCACCGCGTCCATCGGTTTCCGTCCTCACGCCGCGCCGTAGCGTTATTAGTTGCCGGCTCCCAGCCAGTGGCCGCAGATGCACCAAAGAGTCGGGATCAGCCGGCAGGCCAGTGGCGGCCGCTGTGTGCCTCTCCGGTGGGCTGACCCACACTCAAGTGACCTTAGAGGTTGTTGTGGCCTTTGTACTCGAGCGGGCGGCGGGGTGGATCGTGCCGACGCCCCGCCGTCCGTCCAGAAATGTTTTGTCGAGATCCGATGAGTGATCGCACGCCTTGCACTAACTCCAGTCGGCGACCAATACACTCGGACGCCAGAGGCGGTGGTTTGGTTCGCCGTCTGACCTAGAGCGCCATCTGCACCGCGGGATTTTGCAGATGACAGAATACGGCTGTGAGCCGACATCGGTCTGCACTCGCCAGCGGGCCGACAGTTCTACATGTTGGGTCGGGGTCCGAGAGGTCGTCCAAATATTTCCAGATGAGTCACCTATCCGAAACTCCCTCAGTCCCTTCCAACATGATAGGTTACTAGGTCGAGGGGAAGGTCTAAGGATCACTTCGTGTCCGCTGTCAAGTGGAAATCGGCTAAACGCCTGACTTCAAACTACATCGATGGAGCATTTTTCTTGCTTGCTCCCCTAGCCACGACTTCGGGGCTGTTCATTTCAACGCCGATGACCACTGTAGTCCGCCCCCTCCCTGTTCATTCCAAGCTTAAACACGCGCACATACGTACGGCTCCGATCATCAGCTGGGTTTGTTGGTTCATTTTGTAGAAATCACAACCAATTTGCATATAAGACGCCGTTTACTAATGCAGGAACCATATGCGACATCCTCATAGCCAGGGTTACTTTTACAGGAAAAGTTGAGAGGGGGAATAAAGTTCGGGGCAAAGGCGGATCCAGGGGCATCTGAAAGGGGGGTGGGCGGCAATACCATTAGGTTTTTTGTTAGGATGGAGCCCGCAGAACCTTACCTACCCCCAAATCCTATTCTTTCCTCGGGTTTCAGCCACTTTATTTTGGAAGGTTACCAAAAAATAATTTTGCTAAAAAATATACGCACCTACCTTGGCTGTAAGGGGCGGGGGAGGTCCCAACTTGACTGCGCCCTTGCAAATGCCAATCAGTAGTATCAACCTATCAGTGGTATCAATAACTAGTAGGTATACCCCGGCCAAACATTAAGTAACGCCTTTCTAAAGAGAGAGGTTAATCCGCGCCCTGATTGGAGGTCATTTTGGCCCCCATGTGGGTTTTCTTGAAAAGCGAAAAAACGGCGGCGCGCAGCGCCGCCAAATTTTTAGTACCTTACCGGGCATCAATTTGAAACCTTCGCACAAAATTTCAAGTCTTAGGTCACCTTAGGTCAGGAGTAATTGATGTCAAACTGTTCGAGCAAAAATGAGCAAAAAACATGAAATTCTTAAACGCTCACAAAAGCTACAGTTAACGAGCAATTCCAAAGTTCTTTGTGTGGTCGTGTATGTAGAGAAACGACGGCGCTACAAAACTGCAACCTCTACAACTACAAGGTGGGCAGTGATATCCGAACAAAAACTAATGAAGCACAAAACTTGAATTATTACTATTAGTATTAGTGAGCAGTGAAAGTTCCATTGGGAAAGCCGGCTGTGATGAGGTACATTTTTTTGCGCCCTGCTCTGCATGCAAAGCAGATGAACGTGAATGCTGCATAAAGAGAAAAGTCATTTATTACTCAAAGCTTTAACCCTATTCCTGGCGGGCTCCGCCGGGACAAGAAACTGGCGGGGGGGCCGATTCGACCCCCCCCCCCCCTGAGATCTCGAGAACGAAGCAAGATAGCGACAAACGGTAAACGGCATCGGATACGCACGGTCAAGATCTACAATTTTTACTAAGGTCATTTTCAGGTCAGGTCAAAGATGATGTCACAGGGGTCGAAAAAGTCAAAATGGCGGCGCTAGATATGGAGAGAGTTTTTCTCGAATAACTTTCGAATTAGTCAAGATAGGAACAAACTAAGGGCATCATCGTGATCCTCTCGTCAATCCGCATCGAATGATATATATGTTGACCTCGCAAGGTCAAGTTCAAAGGTTGACCTCAGGTCACGTGACCTCGAGGTCATCATGTATATCATTCGATGCGTCTTGACAAGCTGAACACAATGAGACCATCCACGCGTCTGTATCTTGTTCCTGTACGGAGTTATTGGCCAAAAACCTTTGGTAACCTTTGATGACGTCACATGACCTCACAGCTGCCCAACAGCAAAACAGACCTCAAGGTAGTGAAGGTTGATCGTATATGAAGTCATGTATGGTATATGGGGCCATTCCGACCCGTTTTAGTGGTAAAAACAGGGAGTTGATTTTTCCCCCATTGACTTATAATGGGGAGGTCGCGAAACTGACCTGACCTTAGGTCACCGATATCAAAATTCCGAGATATACAAATTGCACATACTGGTACCCTAACTAAAGCCTGAAGAGAAGAAATTGATCGGTCAAAAACTCTAGCTCTGGCGTGATTGCAAACTTTTCTGAGGTAGGGTCACCAAACCGCCTCTGGTGACCTGACCTGAGGTCAGATCAACTCAAAATTTTCAGACATGTTGCGTAGAAGCCTTTTAGGAAAAGTCAGAAAATTTGAGCTTCCTAGCTCAACGCTTTGGGAGAAATAACCAAAAAACCTCAGGGGGGGGGGGCTCCTGAGGCCCCCCCCGCCAGGAATAGGGTTAATGCCTATGGGACAAAAATAACGTTGTTTTTCCTTCAATGATTCCGGTTTGGAGGATGGTTAAACACGGCCATTGTCATATTGGGACAAAAATTTTAGATGTCTGGCCTTGGCGTCGATGAAAAAGTGAAAATAATCGTGAATAAATGGGTCGTTTCTGAGAAAGAACACAGAATATAAAAGGGGGTCCAAAAGGGGGTCACCTTCTTTTTGCGTCAAAGGAGGGGCCATGGCCCATTGCCCCCCTCCCCCTGTATCCACCCTTGGTTCGGAGAGGTAATCCCGTCCCCCGCCGGTTTCTACGCCGACGCCTGTACCGATATGTCAGTGATTGCGAAAAGACGGAAGAGACAAGACAAGAGACGGTCCCACCGACTATCCGATCGGTATCGGGTCAAATCTGGAGTTCCTGCTGCACTGAACGTAAAATGGTTGGATGGAACCGAAAATTGAAAATTAATAATTATCTTAACGCCAGCAACGTTGATTGATGACGAGAATCTGATTAACGATGGCTATAGAATCTGAATAGCGAATTGATTGAAAATGGGCTCCAAAATAAATTTGAAAGGGGGAAATTCCCCCTTCCCTCCCTAGCCGTTCAGACACGATTTGAAAGGGGGAGCGGAATTTTCGAAGGGGGGAAATTCCCCTCTTCCCCCCTTTAAAAGTAACCCTGCTCATAGCTCATGTTGGACATGTATTACGTATGGATCAGTCGTGGACCAGAGCTTTCATAGCGTCGTTGGTCTCATCATTTGGACATGTATCGGCCATTTCAGAGTAAAATAAATCCCTGGAGCGACCGGTGCATCACTGAGGTCACAGTAGCACAGAAGCGTTTGTAGTTCGGATTGCACAACGAGGAAAGTATAGCCCGGTGACGGACTGCTCCGGTTGTTTTGCAATAGAAACACACAATTTTAACGAAAACTGTTTGACTGATTTTCAAATAACCTGCGGTTACGAAACAAAAAGCCAACGAAGCATGCACTAAGCACTGAATAAATATAAATCCACGTAAAACCGTGCCATGGCCCGCAATCAGAATGGCATGAAATTTGATAATTTGTAAAATCATGAACCTACCCGACACCCGTGTGGTGAAAATGGCAAATACATATAGCCAGTGAGGTACCTCAAAATGCAGTTTAATGTAATCATGACATATTGCGGTTGGCAATCGTCAGCGTACGTAAGCTGGTTTAACCTGGTTTAATATCGCGTAACGTAACCTGCGTAACCTGGTTTAATATCATCAGCAAACAAGCACAATACAAATAAGCAACATTAAGGTTGCCTCAATTTCAACAATCACAAAGCATGACAGAATCTACGAGTAGTTAGATGCGTAACAGACATAAAGCTCTATTGAAGAATGGCACACAAGCGAATGTTCATTTGCTCTTGCTGGCTTCCCTCCATTGGGCGATTTTCGGCTTCATGTGTTCTTGGTACATTTGGTAGCAAACGCCTAGCGTCAAACAACTGACGACAAAGCCCTGAGCTCCCACCCGCATGTGGATCAGGTACACCGACAGCTTCATGTCCTTGGGCTTATGCCGCAAGTGGTACAGGTTGTAGCCAACCACGCCAACCAGACCAGCTAAACCTGCGATCAAGCAAAGCATCGATTGTGAAAGAGTTTGGTGGCAGTCAAAACACCGATACCATTCACCAATGTTTATTCACAGTTTTCAATGCTGCTGAAAAATTCATGTTTTTATGTTTTTTTATAATTATCCACACTCATTTAACGTGTAATCTTGGATTCTACTACAGTGAAGATGCTAGGTCAATAACTAAAAATGTGTTATTTTTTCTTATTTATGCTGATGACCTAGACTTACTGTGATAAAAGGAAAAAATATTCAGTAGTGTAAAGTTTTTCTATCCAGTGTTTACATTAGTTTTTAGTTCACACTGCATTCCCTTGGTAGGTTTATAGCATCTAATGTGTACTCCTCTTCAGGTCAAGGCATGTGAAATTGATGTGCCTTTTGGCTTACCTGCCACCATAAAAGGAGACTCCTTCATTTTTCTGGCTAGTTTTGAGCCCTCAGCCTGCTCAAATGATTCACTTGGAATTTCCCTGGATGGATCCATGTTGTGAAAGCCTGTGAAGAAAAAGATATTATTTCAGAAATGAGCTATTCTTATATATTTTCTGTTTCTGTGCCTGACAGGGCCCTCTGTGCCTGAGATTGCCCTCTGTGCCTGAGAGGGCCCTCAATGTGCCTGAAAGGACCCTCTGTGTGCCCGAGAGGATCCTGTTTGTTCCAATTTCCAAAGAGCCCTATGTTTACTTCACAAGGTCCCTCATTTGCCTAAAGGCGCCCTCTGATAGTCCTCAAATGGTCCCTAAAAGAGTTCCCCAATACTTTTTCAGTATGCAAAAAAAAAGGAAGTGGTCAAAAGGGCCCTCAAAGTCATTTCATTTTGTTCATAGTTAATTTTTTTTAGGCTCCAGGGGGAGGGGGTTCAAGGACCCCAGGACCCCCCTTAGATATGCCACTGAATACTACTTGTTATGTATGTTATTCATGATACAAAAAATAACAGGTAGCTACAGTGTGATTCTCTCAAAACAGTTTTTACGTGATGGAGGGTGGCTCTGACTTTTTGCCATTCACAAGGCCAAAGCAAGTAGCAACAATTTGTTAGTATGGAGGTAATACTTTTTGCATGGGTACTGCATTTTTCTACCTATTTAAACAAAAATATCACAGTCATGATGGGCCTTTTATCCACCGTAATGATACATTTGAAGTCAAAAAGGTAGGTACTACAGGTACCTACCAAAATGAATAAAAAATTGATTCCATGGCCATAAATGGACATGGCTCCTCCCACCAGAATCAAATTATTGGGTCTGTTCCAGTTACACTTCCTAACACCTCTAAACTCCTCCAAGATTGCTTCCCTGTTCCAGTGGCAGCTCTAGCTCCTACAAAGCCAAGGAGGGCCCTGCTCCAACCAATATTCCTTTAGATAGCTCCAACCTCCTCTACCTTGCTCTTGGAGGAGTTTGGAGGTGTTAGGAAGTGTGACTGGAACATACCCATTGATGCCTCCATATTTTGATTCCAGAGGTCTAGTTTGCCCAACTACTACCTACACTCTTCAGTGCCAACTGTGGCCACCACCCAGTTTGAGTTAAACTTTTTAGGTGTGCCAAGACCCAATATTACAAAGATTGCTAAGTTGCCAAAAAATGCACCAAGAAGGGTCCTATTTGGACTCAATATACAAAAACAAATTAGTCACGAGAATGTAGTCAACCTCTTTTCATTTTGATTTCTTGACATCATTTCACGAATGCAAAGTCAGCTTACCGAGATCGAGGTGTGCAGGTTGCAGCCCAGACGGATGTCAAGATGATACTACGCTTCAAATACTTGTGCCTAGGCCAGGCAGTCTTGATCCGCTATTGCTATGCACTACTGACCCAGTGCTGCCAGATGGAGAAGGCTGTAATCCTCCAGATCAGTTACAAAAATCCTCCAGATTCCTCCAAATCCCATTGGCGGATCCAGATAGGCGGTCTTGGACGCTGCGGGAGGGCATATCTCCGAAAAGGTTTCTCCAAATTCTAAAAACTCATCGGATTTCGATTCCTTTCGCACTGCTGTGTAGTTTAAAAGATGCTTTTTTTATAATAAAAGTTGTTTAGTTTTCGTTTTATCCTTGAAAAAAACGAAAATTTTCTTCGATTTTGGACGCTGCAGGAGGGGGGGGGGGGAATTTGCGCCAAATGTCCCCCTTTGATCCGCCAGTAGTTCGGTACCTTCAAAAACATATGGTACAATCGTACACGAAATAGGAACAAATAGTCACCATGATATTCGTGGATATAGCTACAGACTGAGACATTCCAGTCTCACGGTGATAAAGGGCAGTGATATATCCTAACGGGTAGGGTGAAGCTGGGCAGGAAAATGTCTTTTGAGTCTTGAACGCGTTGTATTTTTCCATGAAATTGAATATATTAATCGGGTGACAAATCCTCCAGATTTTCCTCCAGAATCAAAAATCCTCCAAACGCGAAATTTGTCCGCAAATAGAGTTCAAAATCCTCCAGATTTGCGGAAATCCTCCAAATCTGGCAGCACTGTACTGACCTACGCAATACTTCTAAGGCTGTTGCAACGTTGCAACGCGCCTAAACATCGCCCACAAGCTGCGTTGGTGCTTGGAGCTGCTGCGCCATAATCGCAATCGCTCGGCTGGCTGACCTCCAGTGTTGACCTTCAGACAGCACTATTCGACTGCCATCAGTAGGGCGGAACACCTTCATTTTAAGCACACACAAAAAATCCATTGCAAAAAAAAAACTAATTTGAGGAAAGTGCCTTTTGGTTCCATTCTTTCCATGCAACGCCCATAGGTAGGACTAATGTTAAAATGCCAAAATTAAGGGGGCACGGTGCCCCGTTGTTCCTCCCCCCGTTCCGCCGCCTATGACTGCCATCTTGGTCAGGGGTGTAATTTTATATCCCTGTGTACGTGCAGATGCAACCACAGGCCACAATCCTGAATTATGCCCCCACAATGATGAAAATGCACCCACAAGTGACAAATCTTTCACAAGCGTCCTTTCGAGAGCACGGCGCCTTTCGCATGCTCTAACGGCGTCCTCCTGACCAGGTGGGTGACGGGCGACGGCACGTGATCGCCTGAGGCGGTGGGGGGCAAAGATATTTTCGTCATTTACCTAATGCTCAATGCAATCGCTGCGACTTTTTACAAGACCTCCTCGTCGTTTCTTGCTTTCAACGACTGGTCCCCGAGTGATGATTATCCTGAATCCTCACGCAAGATGGGATGAATGGAGCTAGCAATTAAGCCCAAAAAACATCGAAAATGTTACAAAACAATTCTTTTGAAGGAGCTGGATTGAATGGTTTTGGAGCCTCGCGAAACTCGGTCAGGGCTCTTCTTACTCGGCTTCTGGGCCACGTATGTACCAGCACGCCAAAAGCAACGTTTGAAAGAGCGTAGGTACTTAAACAATAATTACGAAATTACTTCGGTCACTTTTTAGATCAGGTCAAAGGTCAGGTTGCAGAGGCCATCCAAGGTCAAATTTCGCCAATTTTTAGGTCCAATTTAGACTAGTTTCAACAAACCACCCCATAACTCGGAAATGAATAGAGCTGCAGTGCCTAGGAAAAGCGTAGTTAATAGCTCTTAAACACCCGTTTCGTCGTTCACATCTTCAGGTCATTCAAATCTTTCTGCTTCTCCCCACGCCACAACCCCTGTTCTGGGGCTGGACGGGTAACTTTATTCCATGCTAGCGCACCGCAGCTCCTAAGGGAGCACACCCGTAGCCGGGTGCATTGGGACTTAGGGGGCTGGTCGGCCTGTCCTGTTGGACGGGCTCAGCCCCGGTGAACCACCAAGGTGCCCGCCCAGACCAATGTCTCCCCTCGGCTCCCCTCAATTACTATCATCCTTTCCGGCCCTGAAATGGTCTCGTCAGACCGAAAGGGCATATCCCAACAAAACAAACAAAGCTCTTTTGACACTCTTTCTGTAAAACTTAGCTCAGATTTGACCTAGAGTCAACGCTTCAGCCTGCAGGAGGCAAGAACTACCAAAATAGACGCTGTTTTTGCGGAAAGTTTTTGCTGCAATAGGTAACGTGTGATTCAGAACTTGCACGGCCAAACTTTTACTGGCATCGTGCTTCTCTTGTCGAGTGGCCCGTCAAATGAGCAGTAATTTGACCAAGAAAGGTCAGCATGAAAATTTAACCTCTGATCAAGGTCATAACCTGACCGGAAACGGGTCGTGCTATATAGGTATCAGTCAATCCGTATCGTCGAACTGAACACATCTAAGGTGTTTTCATCGCTCTAGAGTCTAGTGTGCCTTGATCAAAAGTTATTAGCGACAAACCGTCAGATATTTTGTGACCTTAAATGACCTCAGGGACCTAAACAGAGATCACAGGTGCCATAGTCCGCTTCATCGTGACATGGTTGCTCATGTAACTGGGTGTTAAGAACAACGTTCATGCAAGAGAGGCGTCTTTCAATTTTCTCCCATTGGCTTAATGAAGATTTCTCAACTGACCTGACCTAAGCTCAACACTATCAAAATTCCGAGATATGCATTTTAACAGAGTTAGGTAGGTAGGTACTGTTGTCCACATCGATTGCTGAAAGTTTTAAAAGCGACTTATTATCGCCCCCCCCCCCCGTAGGGCGCGGGTTAACACCCTTTCAACTCAGGCTTCAAGGGCCCTTTTAACATTTAGGGCCCTTTCAACCGAGTCAGTCAAGGGCCCTTTTGACTGCGGGACCCTGGAAGAAATCCTAGATACGCCACTGCATGTATCGTTACCCTTGCAGCTGCAACTTTATCTATTGACGTCTTTTTTATCACTCCGCATTAAAAAATCTCCAGTCAAAGCCACCCGTTGCATAGGCGGCGGAACGAGCGCGGCACCGGGACACCGTGCCCCCTTTGATTTTGGCATTTTAACATTAGCCCTGTGGGTTTTGCATGGAAAGAATGGAACCAAAAGTCGGCAGTGCCCCCCTTAATTGAAGGTGTTCCGCCGCCACTGATCCGTTGAGATTAGTAAAACGTGGGTAAAACCACGGTGACTATTATAAATAACCGCAAATTACTTAAGCGGTGGGCTGTAGCCTGTACGTTTTCTTTTGTGCGATGCGGACCTTAATGATCATTGCGTGACCTTGGTGACCCTGGAATGTATGAGCTAAGTAAGTACCTACCTGTAGGATAGCCTACGAAAGGTCCGCAATTCGCAAATCTGATATATAAAATATGGCAGCAAAAAAGCGAAATCGCCTATTAGACGTTTCAATAATTTTGTGATCATGCAAGCTTCGATACAGCTGCAGCTGTATCGAAGCTTGCTGTATTTAGAGAGCGCCCATGGGCGCTCTCTAAATTCATAAATGGCAAATCATGATGTGTTCACTCCCATGTAGGATTGAATAATGTTTCGAAATATCCAATACCGTCTTAGCCTCAGTCCCGTCTGGAGGACGGTCGGCTGAATGAATTCGTTTCAGAGTACGAATCAGCCGATCATTTTCTGCAAAACATGGGCTTTGGCTGTGCACGTGAAACGATCATGCTGCGTTATTTTTGTGCTCGCCTGTCTGGCATGTTTCCAGCGGCGAGCGGCGCTGCAGAGCGAGTGACATGCGCAGCAGAGCCGTCCCGTGATGGTCGGCCAGGGGCGCCGTGGATTGTGCAACCGCGACACTTCGGGAAAGGCAGCGGCGACGCGGCCTGCGGCGGGGTGCGCAGGGCGCCGCTGCGATCAGTCTCAGAGCGCTGCAGACCTGTCCGCGGTGGCCCCTGTCACTGGCGGTGGCGGTCAGACGACTGGAGTGGTCCGCAACAAACGGAGTGCACCAATCCTACCACAGCAGCACTCACAGCACCATGGCGCTATGGATGCTGCTGTGCTGGTTTGCAAACGAACCGGAGTAGCACCCGTAGCAACAGCAGTGGTCCATTGCGGCACTTGAACAGCGGCAGTCCCATCCATGATATCAAGCGTGTATCGTGGCAGGCCGCGCCGAGGACGTGTGTCACCTATTCGCTGTTCAGGGATCAGTGACATACGGGGATACCGGTAATCGGTATCCATCAAATAATAGAATCCGCCAATGATTCACAAGTGTAGAATCGCGTGGAAGACAGCACGAGCGAAGGAGTCGGCACGAGCACTATGTGCCTTATCCAGGCGCGCTACGAGCACCGGGCTTCACCACAGGCCGGCGAGGCGAGTCGAGTGTCCCCGGCAGGCGGCAGGTGTGGGCGGCTCACGATGTGTCACCGCGCACCGAGCGACGTCAGCGCGCTTCCGGCGGCCGTGTCGCCGACCCCATGTCCTCCAGGTGCTACGCAGGTGACGTCATTTCTCCTGGTTACGTTATAGCAGCAGGGCCGACTGCCATCGGTGTGCTGGTGGTCCGAGGCAGTCAAATATACGTGCACAGGAAACTACCTAGTGCACGGGAAGGCGATACGTACACGTGGCTGAAAAACGAATCAATGCGATTTGTCCAGATAGCGGTGACGTCATGACAGACTACAATAAAGTGTAGCGTCAATTCGGAGAACGCTGCGGTCCCCAAACTGAGAGCTATGCATGCACGCTCCCAGACCATGAGCTGCAGATCTGCCTGAATCCGGCTCATGTCGCGCAGTTAGTAATCAGCGATTGAATTTCCAGATACCTCTACACACTTTCCTTTGACGTATGCGGTGCATTCAGCTCACGTCATTACCTGGCTAGACCAGACGAGACGACGACTTTGATCAACCGACGTGGTAATTTGTGCATGGCTCACAGGAGGAATGTTGCGTTATTGCAGCCAACGAGACGCCATTCTCCTCATGGCTTCTCACAATGAGACCCCGTTCTCCTCGTGGCTGCCCACAATCAAGGTATCATCCATCTCATCGGTTTATTCACTGTAATTACCAAAAGGGCAGAATACCTATTTATTTGTGTCGTGCAGTGGATGCCTATCATAGACAAGATGGCAGCTCCCTGTCGTCGCCTCCCTGGAACCGCCATTGACAGGTACTACCCCGGTTTGTTTGCAGCGAGCTGTGGTGAGGTTCGCGGTGTCTTATCAGGTGTTGCAGGGAGTCGAGGGCAGACGAGCGAGATCCCCCTCCACGTCGTTTGACCTGTGCAGTGTCAATAGCAGCGCTGGTTAGTGCTTGCACCGCGGCGGTTTTTAGCAATGCCAAATGAGTTGTGTGTTGCATCACGCTGTTGCTCCGGCCATGGGTTACAGGAGCCCGGCGTTGTGCAGCTGGGAACAATGGGCCCCGCTCGGCGGCGGCCAGTGTGATGCGGCGTGTCGGTATGGGCTGGGCGGCGTTTACCTGCCGGCCGACCTTCACGGCACGCCACGCTGTTGTCCGGTGCGCAGTTGACGCTCCACCGACCCTGCAATACATGCACCGGGCCACCGCTCTGCTTGCCTACCGGGAACTCGAAAATCGAGCCCGAGACTGCACCTCGCCGGCCCAGGCGCCGTCTTAGGCACGGCCCGGGGTCAGCTGGGCTTCCGAGAAGGTGAACGTTTGTATGTACTGAGGTGCATGCATAGTGCATGCATACAAGTCTGGCGGAGTGAGTGGCTGCCTCTGGGCCGGGAAACCCGTGGTCGTACAGCGTCAGCCGCCAGGCACGCCGCACCGGCCGCTCGCTGCGCCTCTCCCCGTCACCGCCACGGGTTGCGCCGCGCTGAGTCAGCGAGCACACACAGCCCGGTATCGGTGTCACCGGAGCGCGCCGAGCGGCGCTGAGCCGACAGCAGGAGTGCTCTCAGACCGCGGTGACCCGGCCTGGTCGTGGCTCCGTGCGGCGTGGGACGCTCAACGCTGGGCTGCTGTTGATAAACATTCCGCATCACTGGTCATTGCGAGTTCTCCGTATAATGAGTAACGTTTCCTAGTACTCGTCGTCATCCTGTTTCACCATCTCTGGTGAGAGAATGGAGGAGATAACGGAACGTTCTCGTGCTGAAGTTACGACCTTCTCGGGATACCTGCATTCTGCTGCTTCATCCGGGGCCATTAGCTTACCAATCGCATGGAGCGAACAGTTTCGGAAATGAATTATTCCCATACCCAACGTCTTTCCGTCATACCCTTAAATTCGAGTTGATTCGTAGCCCTAACGTAATTCAGAAATGTTGTCGATGAGCGTGACATGCAAGACTGCATCCAGATCTTTGGTCCCATCGTATGCACAACACATGTCAGCATCGCTATCGCTTTCCTTGTGCCTCCAAACACGGGGTAAATGCACAGTTACATATTATTTAACATGAGCCAATCAATAAAATGGATATGAACGAGTTGGGAACATGTGCTGCATTATAGAGCATGCAACGACAGCAATGCATGGCAGGCCGCGACATCCAGCGAGCTAAAACGGGAAGCGACATAAATTGTCATGTCACGCACATACGTGCACTACCGCGTCTGCCGCTATTTTGCTACATGAGCGCAACATCTCCCCAGAGCGGAGCGGTAGTGGTGAGGTGCTAACAGTCAGCGTTGGTAGGCATCGAGCGGAAACAAGAGCATCATCACGGAAAACCCCCAGGTACATAACACAACAACAGCTGATACACAATATCACAGACGCTCGGAATCGGCGTGGCGACAAGCGTGGCTTTGGGGATCGATGCGAACTCACTCACAACGGGTGCAGCAACAACACCACTCTATCAGTGTCGTCTGATCACGCCAGAGCACTGAAAATCGCCACGCCCTTCAGTCTTTTCCCAGTCCAAACACTCCTGATTTCTGAAACTCACGCGGTTCGGAGGCTATGCCGACAGCACTGCTGAGCATCCGGCCCCATCCTCGCCGAGCTGACTAGATAACTACACGCGGCCCAGTGTCGGTCCGTCTACACCATCTGGTCGGCCGTCTGGTGAACGGCGTCGGTGCCCAGTTTGCCCAGAGCGGGGGCGTGCATCCCGTTTCCGGACGGCAGTGTGATGCCGTTGGCCACCGGCGGGCCCGTACCGTTCACCATCCCGAGCATACCAAGCTTCTCGGTTTTGCGACCCTTGCCTCGCTTCAGGCGTCGGCCCTTGTGTGGCAGGGCGTAGCGGAGACGCTGCCAAAAGTGGGCGTCGCCCCATTTAAGATAGGTGTTCGTACTGATGTAGAGCCGCAGTTCGGGAGCCATGTCCTCCGGGTCGGGTAGGTCGCCGTAGACGATCATAATCACGCGGTTGCGCCGGTCACTGAGCGCCTGCTTATGGGCAGCGATAAACTCGTGCCGGCCCCAGTCGCTCTGGATGAAGTTTTTGGACACGACGACAATGACGCGGCGTGAGTCCTGCACAGAGGTCTGGATCTGGTCCAAGATAAACTCTCCGGCCAGCCAGTCGCGGAAGTGCAAACAGAGTGTGTACTTGGGGTCGCCGCACTCCAGCTCCGGCACCAGCTGCTCCAGGATAAAGTGTTCGTCCAAATGCGAGTAGCTGATGAACGCGTCGTACTTCTTATCTGCGTCCAGCTCCTCCTCGGTGACGAACCAGAGACAGAGGTTGTGCGAGTACAGCCACGCCTTGAGCATCTCGCCGTTGCGGTAGTAGATGCAGAGCATCACCAGAAGGCATGTGGCGACGGCTGCGGCCACTATGCAGATGGTGACTATGGTGGCCGTTCGAGAGGGACACAGCTGCTCGGAGGTCAGCTTCAGGACGCTGTTCTGCTCGCCGCCGACGCACACCATCTGCGCGGCGTCCATGATGCGCAGCGAGTTGGCGCTGATGTGCAGCTGGAGATAGTGGTGCAGCGGTAGCAGCTCGCAGTCGCACACGAACGGGTTGCCGCCCAGCCAGAGACGCGTGTCGTTGTTGGAGGCGGCGTCGAGTCGCTCCAGGAACTGTTTGCTGACGCGTGACACGTTGTTGTGGTTGAGACGCAGCTCGCTCAGACCGGCCGGCAGCAGGGCCGGGGTCGGGTTGCTGATAAGGTTGTGACCCAGATAGAGGCTGGCCACCTGTCCTTCCGACCAGGAAACGTTGCCCAGGTCGCGAAGGCCTGCTCCCTCCACACGCAAACTGACTGCGTAACCGTGCTTAACGGGCGGCGTCCAGGCCGGCAGACTTGAGCAGGCCGTGATGAGCGTGCTTCGACTAGGCTGCCTCGTGCAGTTACAACCGGCCGGACAGCCCTCGGGTACCGGACAGACCAGCTCATCCGCCGGGACTGTGCTGAAGGTCCGGTTAGCCAGTGGTGCCGGCCCTGCACATTTCAGCAGTCTGGTGTTCAGTAGAAACGGAGGGCCGGGCAGTCCCTCCGGCTGGGTCACATTGGTCCGATTGATGAAAACGTTCAGCCCTATTGTCTCGCAGTTGCAAATAAGTGGATTTTCGCCAATGTATATCAAGTTTGGATCGGCTTTGCCCGCTGGCAGCCATCGTACATCCATTCTGGAAATGTTATTGTACATCACACTGATCTCCGTACCGGATGACAAAAAGTTCAGAGATGACATGTCAATAGCCTGAAGGTCGTTATGCTCAAGATCCAGCCTTTCCAGCTTAATCAAGTTCAGTCGTAGCTGGCTTGGGATCATCCGTATGCGGTTTCTATGCAAATCCAAATTACGGACTTCGCGTACAGTCGAGAATGCAGACTCATGACTGTCTAACACTAGGCTGTTGTTAGATAGGTCTAGGTGACGGAGACTGAAGTCCAGACCGGTAAACGCACGAGCACCCAGCTCTGTGAGGTTGTTGTCCTGTAGGAATAGTCGCTGAAGGCGAGGTGTGCGGACAAACATCTCGTTCGGCAGCTCCGTCAGACCGTTGCCGTTCAAGTAGATGGTGTCTAAGCTTCTCAAGCCGCGCAGCAGTCCCGAGGATAGCTGGCGCAGCTGGTTGTGACTGAGATCCAGGTTAAGCAGCGCGGTCAGCTCGGCAAAGCTGTCATCCGGTATCTCGGTCAGCTCGTTGTGGTCCAGAGTCAGGTTTTGGAGGGCGGTGAGGTCGCGGAACAGGCCGGGCGGCAGCCGCTGCAGCCCCAGCCGGTCCAGCATCAGTAGCTCCAGGTGCGACAGGCCGCGGAAGATGCCCGCCGGCAGAGAGGACACGTCCACGTCCACGTTCAGCCGGCCGTTGATACGCAGCAGCTTGAGACGAGGTGTGCCGGCGAACAGCGTCTCGTTCAGCGCTCGGAATGGGTTGCACTCCATGCGCAGCACCTCCAGCTGGGTCAGAGACGCGAACACGTCACCCGGCAGCGTCTCCAGACTGTTTTTGTACAGGTCCAGGTGTCTGAGCCTCCCTAGGTCACGGAAATGCTCTCGTGTCAGTTCGCTAAGCCCGTTTCGGGTTGCCAACAGCTTCGTGAGATTATGCAGTCCGTGAAGGAATGTGACGGGTAGCCTGCCGGCGTTCAGGTTCCGGATGTGCAGTTTCCGCAACTGCGGTGTGTGCCGGAGCAGCCCGTCGGGAAGACTCGTGTTGGTACCAGTGATGGTCAAGTTGTGCAGACTCCCGGTGGACGCGAAGAAGTCGTCGTGCAGTTGGATGCGCGTCAGTCCGTCCAGATGTAGCGTCTCCAGGTCCATGCCGTCGAGGAAGTCGGCCGGCATCGTGTCATTGAGCAGGCCTAGGGACACCACCTTCACCAGCCGGACACCGCGCACGCCCAGCTGGTGCACGAAGTGCCGCAGCGTCCCGTCTGGCAGCGGGCACTGGTGCAGCACCACGCTGTGCGTCACCCCCAGTCGCAGGTTCATGGCGTACAGCGCCTCGTAGTCCGTTCGTCGCACATCGTGCGGCTCGCACACGACCACCAGCCGCGAGTGGGTCGGCGTGTGCGAAATGCGCAGCCGGAAGTCCGTGTTGTCCAGCAGACAGAACACCTCGAGCTCCGTGGCGTTCTCGGCACTGAACCGGGTGCAGTTGGGCAGCATGGTCGCCGGTGTCGGTGCCGCAGCCGCAGCTGCAGTGTCAGCAGCACCGGCCGCCAGTGACGCCGCCTCCGCGGGCGCTGCCCTCGCTACGGCTGTCAGCGCTGCTAGCGCCGCCACCAGGGGCGCCAGCGTCGCCAGGCGCGGCGGCATGACTCGCGATCGCCGCTCTTCGGCCGTTGCTGGTAGTTTGGAGCTCGTCAGTGGTAACGGCAGCCTGTCCTGAAGAGTGGGTGGCTCGTTCCTCTTTGGCGTGGGCCGGCCGCCGACAGCCACCGTCCTCAGGAGACACTCTCTCCGGACCTGCGGAAAAGGTCACAGCCTTTCAGATGAGCTCAACACAATGAGAGCACCGTTAACATTTCGTTCATGGACAAAAGTCATGAACAGACCGGTCACAATGAGAACGAAAATTGACCCCGGAAGTCACCAGTTAACGCAAGTAGTTCGCCGTTGAAGCGGACTTCTCGTGAACTGGTGGACTGAAAATGAAATTGTCACGGCAATGTAAAGTTACTAATTAAATTCACACCACAACCATAGTGATGGTGATGATATCATCAGAACAATGAAATGCAAAAGGACAATTGACATCGCACGAGCGCGGTACCTTTCAAAGGCGAGATGGGTAGGGGGCGGGGAGGGGGCGGGGAGTAAACGTCAAAGGCGATGTCAATCTCCCACTCATTTAAACGGCATAAGACGATATCATCGATATCAGCGTTAGCATCTGCATTCTCCAGTGGTAGCAGCTGTGGCTGTTAGCAGCTGTGGCTGCTAACCCCGCAGCTGTGGCTGTTACCACTGGGTGATGGAGATGGTGGCTTTTTGGGCTGTCCAGGGGCTGAGCGGATAGAGGCTCTAAAATAGTGGTGAATGTGAATGGTGGCGGCTGTACAGGCGAGCTCTCTCCGTGTTTATGGCGGGCCGTTCCCGTTCGGCGGCAGAAGGCCGGCGGCTGCGGGGCACTGCGCAGTGCGGCTCTAACCCAGCGAGGTCGGCCGCCCTTCATACCCCATCGCACCGGCCCGGCGCGCCGCCCTGTGCCCCGCCGCCTGAGCCGCAGAGTGCAGACAGGCACACACGGCACACGGGCAGGCAGCACCGGTCGTGAGCGAAAGGATCTCACGATAGAACCACACGCTGGTACCGGGTGATTCAGCGCTGGAGCACAAAAGAGCCGAGTCTCCTGTCTGAGCAATGCGCCAAGGGTTTGATGAACATGATCGACGACGAGCCTTATATCCACATCCCTCATTCGCGGGGTTCACCGTGCGCAGTCCCGCTGCAGGATAGCAGCTAATGTGGGCCAATCAGGTATCGCTAATCAGGTGTGCTCGTGCAGCCGTCGCGCGGTGGCCCCTCAGAACTGGTCAGGTCGGGATCGCGCCCATTTCAGATGGGGCCGATTACATCACGCGGGCTCCGTGGAAGGCCTTGGCCGGTCCGGCGAGCGCTGCTGCTGGGCCGCGGGGCCACCGATGAACGCCTTCTCTGAACAGGCACCATCGGCCGCCCCTTCCTAGTAGCCACCTGTGTGTTCTCAGCCGGGCATGGGGCCAAACATTGCATAGGGTCAGCGGTGCGCGCCTGCTGCGGGATCCGGGGAGTCCCCGGGCCGGGCCGACCGACCGACCTTGGTGTGACCGGAGCAGTGCACGGCGCGACCGGCCGGGGACCCGGACAGCGGGGTTCAATCCCTGCCGGCCAGCCCGACCGTCAACGAGCGCCCGCCGCGGGACCCGCCCACGCCATTAGGCCGGCGACCTACGGGAGGGGCTGGCGGCAAACGACGGGTCGTCCCGCGGCGGCTATATTGCCGACACCGAAACAGTAGTGTCATTACCGGCACTGCCAGACCGGCTGTGAGCCATCCGTTTGGAGGGAGGCTCATGACGGGATAAGCCTTTCCAGAGAACTGCGCAACCGGCTATGTTATCAACTCGGACGGGCCTGGTGGCATTGACGCAAACTGGTTGGTAATGCGAGGCGCGACTACTGACAGCCCTATGAAGTCTCCAGTAATTCCGGTGTTTAGCTGGAAGTCTTCAGAAAGAGTTGTTCCTGAGAAACCGATAACGAGTATTGGCTGACGTTCGATGAAGTGTTTGCATACCCGCCGGTGTGGGATTTTGTGACATCCGATACCACCACTAGATTCGTAAGGTCAGCCAGTTTACGACTGGGTATACTGGATGAGCCACGGACGGGGTCATTTTCCACCACTCTCCAGATCTGAGAACTTGCCAGAAATTGGAAATGGACAAGATATCCACATAGGCGCGGGAGCCGGGGGGGCAGTGGGGGCAGCTTGCCCCCCCCCCAACTCTGGGGCCGTGGGGGCGGTGCCCCCACAGCTTTGAGACGGAATATCACACTTTTTTTTGCAAATGTTTTCTTTTTTTGTTGAAAAAGCCGAGGGGTGAAAAATAAGTGGCCTAAAACCGGTGAGAAAACTAGATTTGGGGGTACCCTAGGTTGATCTCTTTTATGGTGTGCCCCCCCAGTCGGAAAGTAGTTCCCGCGCCCCTGGATATCCATTACACTGGCGGCCTACGCCGACCAAGAATATGCCACTTGATATACGACAGTCATACCTGCACCCGGACCTCTGGAGTCCGACAGGTCTTGAATTCTCAATTTAAAGGTCAATGGGGCCGGAGGTGCGCTGTACCGGCTCGTTCCAAGGAATGCCGGCGGGGTACCGCACCGCGCCGCCGCCCCAGGGAGGTGCCCGAAGGCAGCCCGCCGAACAGCTTGTCTAATGGGGCCCCCTGACGACACCCGACTGACATTTACCAGCCCCCGCGCGGCAGCGCTCATGTGCACATTTAAATATTAAACTTCTGCATTGCTGCTTCGCGGGATTGCACAGCATACCAGGCGCCAATGTGAGGCTCAAATCAAATTTGCGAAACTGAATGCCTGCCTGGGTTCTCTTTGGAATTGTACTCGGGGCCATGTTAGATTGCAGTCGTTGAGTTATGAAACATCCTGTAACACAGACTGTTCATTTTGAACTAGGCGGCTATAAAGAAACGGTTGCTTTTCTTGTCGAGGGACGGGGTGGCTGAGCAATGGGAACGTCAAATATGCGATGGCCAGGAAATTCACCAGAAAGGTGGATTGGCCAACCATTATCATCAATCATCAACTCTGGAAAAGTCACAACTGGAGCATCAGAAGCACGAGATGGCGAGCCACCCAGCGGCTTAGCATGCCCAGCGCCGAGAATATTTGCTCGAGCGCAGTGCAGAACGGAGCCGGCGCGGCGGTTTGCCGACTTATCGTGCCACTTCCTCCGGCCAGACATCTCACTGCAGCCGTGCACGTGTGAACAAGCCGGGGAGTCGGGCCGTGCCGAGCCGAGCCGCAGCTGCACGGGCACAGCTGCGCAGTGACATGGCGACGAACGCACCGCAGCGGCCGGCGCCCGTGACCCAGACAGAGCCCAACACTGTATCAAAACGGACAGACAAAGCACGACACATGGCGCACAGACAGAGCCCCCAGCACTGTATCAAAACGGACGGACAAAGCATGGGACACGGCGCAGATACAGAGCCCCAACAGTCAACACTGTATCAAAACGTACGGACAAAGCTTGGAACACGGCGCAGAGACAGATCCCCGACTCCAACATCAAAACGTGCGATCAACCCACCAGTCCACGACACATCACGTACTTACAACCTCGACACAATGCTGTAGCGTACCTACTGCCAAACACAGCACATGACATGGCGCGTGGACAGAATATGAACAGCACAAACTTACTACACCGAGTACAGCACACGTCTGACAGACAGAACGCATGACAGAACACACGCCACATTTAGACGTAATGCATGGAGTGAGCTCAGCCTCCCCTATAGTTTGCGACATAACAGTTCACTACACGACGTCGACGCCAGACATACCTAGTCACTTAGCACAGCACACCGATTTATCAGCACACACGACTCGCTGACAGACGCGCCGAGCACAGCCATACTCTGCAGACGTATACATTTACCTACAAACCGATCATGTTGCTACGAGTGGGGGGGGGGGGGCGTATCACTAGGTGGGGCCCCGAAGTCCTCAAACACATACCACTACCATGGCGGACGGGAGGGGCTAGCACTGAGGAGGGAGGGGCTCGGCCCCCACCGGACTGTCGCCAACCAGTTCCCCACCACACGGCGACACTGCGCGCCGGCAGTGGCCTTGGAGAAAAGCCGCCGAGCGAAACATGGCGCAAACGAACCACAGACCGCATCGCCGCGAGACAGGGCTGTTCCAATCATGCATGACATTTTATAGACAAATCACGGCACATGTGCTGTGAGGCCTGGCTTCCGAATGTGAATACTACTCGTACTGCCTAGTCGTTCGATGCCGATTCATTAGTCATTTGAGGTCGTTCGATGACTATTGGATTGGACCTCTTTGTTCTGTCGAGTGTGTGCAACTGTATTTATGCAGCGACATTCAGCGGCCTGTCCAACAAAGGGAGAGCAGCAATGCGGTGAGGTCAGCCGGCGAGTCCCCGGCACCCCTGCAGACTGGTTGCGGTCCCCTTCCGCCGCGATCCCGCGGGCCGAGTGTCGATCAGGAACCGGCAGTGGCTCGCCGCGCGAGCGGCGCCCAGTCCGGCACGCCAGGCGCGGCCCGCCCATATTCGGCCGGCACGCCCGGCCCATTGCGTGCAGGCCTCTGTCGGGGCGTCACGTGAAGTGGTATCGCTGGATGCAGTCGGCGCCTGAACAGGCGGCTCCGGCGGCCGTGACACGTGGACCGGCTGTGGGACGCCGGCGGCCCCGTCGCGGTGGTCGCGACACTTACTGCCGACGGGTATTAATGGTTACCGCAGCGGCAGCCGGCAGCCCGCACATTTACCTGGTCATGGTCCTGGCGAAGGTAAGTGAAATTGAGGTGGGAGAATTTCCCACCGCAGAAGCTCTGAAGTGAGCCGAAGGTTTCCACCAGCCGCCTGGTAACCAGTACCGGTGCGAATTGGTGGTCACCGTGCAATGCACATGCCTACCGAACCGTGCATGGCTTGGGCGTTGTCCCGGTCTGATGTTTTGATGTCCGAGATTCTCATGATAACATTTTTCTAGGCAACGCTTCATTCGTCGAAAGTCAATTATAGAGTCATCCATTGTATCATATGAAGGTGCACTAGGTAGAGCAGTTTTTTTTTAATTGAATGGATGGGTGGAGTTTCCACGAGAGAGCCACTTTTTGCCAACATAAAGCTGCCGATCAGTCTTTGTCGACAAAAGGGTCACTCGTTTCACCATTCATCCTGTCCATGG